GTTATATGACTAGATACTGTATCCTACAAATTTGAGTTATTAAAGTGATCTGTAAATTAGTATAATCAATTGCACTAAGCTGAAATATCCGAGCTTTATTAACCCTTTGCACTCGAGAGATGACTCAGTCACCACTTGATTTGATACAGCAAAACTATGAAGTTGAATATTTAGTATTTTAAATTAAACTTTGTATTGCTATAGGAAATATTGAAATAAAATAGCTGTGTCGCTTAATTTATCTGTGAATTATCGTTAAATTAGTTTCAAGCAATGTCGTCTATGTCTCGTCGAAAAATATTAAATATTTCTAGTGAAAAACTTTCGAGTGCAAAGGGTTAAGTCATCGCCCGAAGCGTACATTAAGCATTCATAAAAACAACACAAGCTTAACGTACGCGTTGTTTTGCTGTTAAAATGTTTCATTTCGAATCTCTATAATATATCTACTTTCCGAAAACAAAAGAAGATATTAATACATGATATTAACCCTTTGCACTCCAAAGGTGCCTCTCAGTCATCACACGATTGGCGAAAATTGTAAAATTTCGTATTTAACATTGAGTAATCTGTCGATACGTGAAATGTGTAAAGAAAATACCATTGTTCCCTTATTTTGTGAATAGATCCCTCGTTAAGTTAGTTAAGAAAAATGTCATCTAGTGAACATTTCTAGTGACAAATTTTTGGAGTGCAAAGGGTTAACACTAAAAGAATCACTACGCGATCAATCGATTCCCAAAATCAAGATATACCCCGTACAAAAATGTTCTTTCACTTATCGGCTCGCTTTTTCCGAGCACTTCCCTTTCACACGATTTCAGGATCATCCAGTATAAAGTTCCAGCGAATCCTCCGATTGTGAATCCTTATCGGCGGAATATTCCCCGGAATCGAGCAGGGAATCGTCCATAGGATCGTTTATCGGCGAGAAAAGGGTGACATAAAAATCGCAAAATAAACCGAAGAAAGAACGAAGGGACGGTTACAGGGCTGCTATGCGGCGTGGCGCCGATAACGCGCATTTGCGTAATTGCGCCGCGATAAGAAGCGCACGGGCAAAAAAAGCGGTCCGCGGGCCGCTTTTTTGCGAGCGATCCGACCGGTCGAATTTCCCCTCCCCCTTAAACGGTTCCTTCCATTTTTCCCTTCGATCGGTCCTCCGACGCCGGGTCACTTCGTAGGCGCTCATTAACCCGGAAAATCTAATCTGCATCGAAAGTGCGCTTTTAAGACGTCGCACCGCCGCCACACCTCCTCGATCCTCGCCGGAATCGATTGGTATCACGCGATCCCGCCGCCGCGATTGGCGGACCTCGCCGGCTGATTATTTCCCCGGCCGTTGTTCCGCGCGGGATTGAAAGACCGCGACGATGCAGCGCGAGAAAATCGAGTGGAATTTAAAGAGGAAAGTTGCGCGACGAGCGAAGTATTTTTCGGCGTTCTTGATCGAATGATGCTGCAACGAGGACACTTAACCTCTTGCTGTATTATTTTGCTACGAAGCTCGTGCAAAGTGTTTCTATTGGCAGTTTAGAGACGCGGAGAAATTGTCCACTCTAATTTAACCCTTTGAACCCTGTATTATACGTTAAATATTTTAATGAATCTTAAAGAAACTACCCTAAAATTATTCAATTTTCCACATATCCAAATTCTGCACTGAATGTTATAGCATTTCTCATTTTCGCCAGGAGTACTATAAAAATTAATTGCAGTTGCTGATTGGTTACAAAAGAACCTGCAGTGCTTTAACACGTTGAATGCCATGAGGGTCACCGGTGACCTCTAACCGAATTACTGTAGTTCACTCAATTAAAGCATGATTATTTGAAAACATTTCTATAAATAATGCTAACTAATGCGGTGACATTCAGCTAGATGAACCTGCGATAACAACAATGCAGTTCAATCGAATGATTTAATATTATATTTTTTCCATTTCAAGTATTTTATACCATGAAATCGCGCGGCATTCAACGTGTGAAGTACAAATTTACTTTCAAGACAATATGTTGGTAATAGTGTTTTGATCCGTGCGCATCGTTACAGGAGAAATATTCTCCTTACCCGCTCCACGGCGGATTCTTCGCGTTTAACAATTTGTTTCACAATAAACCGAGGCCGCAGTGTATGCTGCTGTCATCCCGTGTTTGACACTCGGAACGGATTTCCAGGGCCATCCGAAACCCCGCTGCCAGTACCGTGAAAGATTCACTAGTTGTCGCGCGACGGGTTGTTGCGTGTAAACCCGGCCGACGATAAATCCAACGTCAGCCATCAAACTTCATCGTCCGCGACGCAGACATCCGGTGTTCCAATTAAACGTCACCGATTCGCACTTTCGACGAGCGCCCCGACGAAAAGCATTTTGATGGATGTAGCGCCGCTTTCGCGTGCAACTTCCTTGCACCGTTGCAACACCACAATATTTTCCCTCTATTTTCCAGCGATCCTCCTCTTCTTTTTTTCGTCAGCGAAAATATCGAAGCAGCCTGCTTATCAAAATATGTTCGTTACCCGTGACAATATTGTCGCTTCAACGTCAACTCATATATCTCCATTGAATAATTTCGAAAGAAAATCATTCTCATGGTTCACACGTCATTTTCATTGATATTTGTTAAACTAATTTCCATCGAGAGTCTCTAAGAATCGAAACGATCGTTTTACCTCGTGTATTATTCTTGAAAATTCGACGGAGATTTTAGTGGAATCTACTGAATACGATTATATCGTGTAATTGTGGATTGATGAGACGATATCGAAGCTGAATAGAAATTGAAACATGCCGTGAGTCGTAAGGGCGAACGTAGATCGCGAGTAAACTGGCAGTTACTGTCTGGGATTAAGCCTGCGCCCGGAAATATGAAGTATCCACCGGATCCTGTATTCAATTGCGGAGCGGGTTTCAATCTGTGTTCCCATGAATTATAGAACTTAATGTCTGCGTCAGAAACAAGGGCCGCTGAATTATTTCACGCGTTGCGCTGCGAAATTTGCCAACGAACTTGCGGCTCTTCGCCATTTATCCCGCTGCGGAGAATAATTCCTGAAGAGATGTTCCTCGCGCGAGGTCATTTTCCTTCTCGTTTGGGGAACAGACGAAATATTCACCAACGAGGATACACATTATTTTATTTGTACTCCTTCGCTGGCGTCGTTATATTCTTACTGCATTATTAAACGCAGCTGATTGTGCCATAATATTATAACGGTACAAACTGAAATTCGTTTAGCCGAAGTTTGAAGCAAGATGCCCGGCTAGGCTGTAAAGATTACACAGTCGAGCAGCGGATATTTAAAGGAAGCCCGCATTTTTATGTGCAGATTTACAACGCACGCCATTAGTCCCTCCCTTAAACTTTTAATTGGGTTAAAAACAAAAGAGCCAACAAAATTTTTAATAAACCACTCATCTTTTGTGTTCCGTCCAGCTGCGTCTGTTTCGCTTTCGCAGGACCGTCGTAATAACTGAACAACGGACTTTTATTCGCTCATGACAAATTCATAAGTGCAACGTTGCATAGAATGCATCGGATTCGAGGGAATGTATAAAATATCCAAAGCCTTGTCCTTTTAATGTTTACTACGATAATCCATTTTCTGTAATTATTTCTAATAATTCGTTTCCAATTACTTCTAATACATTTCTTCGTCATTACATTTTTCAAATTTGTAATTTACAAACGGCAGTACTAGTCAAAATGACTGTTTGTTTCGCAACTATTAATATCTTAAAAGCATTCAATAATTGAAATGATCTTGAAAATAAATAGTTTCATTTGAATACTATAATGAATGTCTAAAAAAACTGACAATAATCTATTACAATTTTTATACGGATCACATATTAATCGTATTAAATGCTCGGTAGCTCTAGTGTTAATGTCTCGCTATAAAAGTGTCGCCGCATAAAGACCAAGGTTTATAGTTCGCGGTATTGATTCTCACTAGCGTGGTAACGCGATAAACTGCGATATTCGGTATCGTTAATGAAAAATACCACGAGAAAGAAAAACGGACGGCAGCGCACGCTGCGCGCCTCGCGAATATTTCTTAATACAGTCGCGCCGGCCACGATTTATTTTCATTGGCGGCGAACGACGCGCGTCAACGCAACCCCCCGCCGGCGATTTACACGGGAACCGAGCATAAATCACTTCTGCCCAAGCGTTCGCCGCAATTCACGTCATCGCGATGACGAAACGCCCGCAATGTTCTTGCAGCGAAAATTCTGCAAGATCGTTGCATAAATTCTTGGCGATTCTTCGTGGAAAACACGTTTCCTCGGTGGGAATAATTCGATAAATGATCGATCCGGTTGGCCGTGACATCCATCATAATCGTCGCTCGTTTAACGTGAAATTATACATGCTTTCTTGACGATTTACCTTGTTCAGCGTATTTTTAAAACGTTTTCGAACGTGTTTTCGGGTACCAGGACTTCTGTGACATTACATTTGTAGACTTATGGCATTCTCTAAGAAACCATGAAATTTACGAATTTTCACATGAATTTCCCTAAAGAAACTATCATATTCCTATTTCCTTATTTCTAATTACTCCTTACAACAGTTTCTTCAACCAAGCCTATAACAAATGAATTAATCTACACCCTCTTCGCCTCAAAGAAACGTTCACCAATTGATAATCAGTTCTCCAAATACAAATGCCAAATAGAAATTTCCCTTAATATTCAAATAACTAATGTACATCCTGTCGATCTTCAAAAAACGTTCACCACATCCTGAAACATCAAAATTCTCCTCAATATTCAACTGACTAATGCACTCCCTCTAAATCTCAAAGGAACGTTCACCAATTCCCGAAACATCCTCCTTAAATTTTCCAAATAAAAATACTAAATCGAAATTCTCCTCAATATTCAAATAATTAATGCCCATCCTCTCATCCTGATTTTCCAAATAAAAATACTAAATCAAAATTCTCCTCAATATTCAAATAATTAATGAGTGCACTCGTTGTCGTGTTCACAGGACCTCCAATCGGAAATCGAGACACACCGCGACGTCTACGCGTCCTTGAACGGCACAGGGCGAAAGCTGCTGAGCTCGTTGGCCAGTCAAGATGACGCCGTTATGCTGCAGCGGCGGCTGGACGAGATGAACCAGAGATGGCATCACTTGAAGGCGAAGAGCATGGCGATAAGGTGAGCGACAGAACCTCGCGTTCCCACATTTTATCCCCGCGAACCGTTCGCTCCTCCCACCGCCCGCCGCTCCCTCGTTCACCGTTTCACCGTCTAACCTCTCTTTCGACCCGTAGCTTTTTTTAATCCAATTAACGTTCACGGTGAGAACGATGACAGGTGGAACGCTGAAGTTTTCAGCAGCCGTGAACGGTAACAGGTGCACCGTTCCGGGACGGACGAATGTTCCGCTTTGCGTGCGCCCGGGGAAAAGAGAGAACCGGGACCCCGGGATTATAGAGATCGGGGATTAGGAATTTGGAAGTTCGGGATCTGAAACTTGAAAGATTTGCATTCTCGGAAATGAAACCGAGCGGCGGCGGGGGCGTATCCTTGATCGAAGAGCTCCGATAAAAACGTGATAAACGCGATTGCGAGATTGTAGCGATTCGACTGCCGATGCTCGTTGGGAGTTTGATTCGAAATTAGACCGGGTTTAGCGAATGAGAATTGGGGGGAAATTCGGTTCTCTGGCTCGGGGGTTTGGAAGTTATACGTTGAACGGAAGTGGAAATTTTTCCGATTGTTTTATTATGTTTATAGCGTTGCGTGGTTTTTGAGGACTCTTGGCTTCTACGATTGTAGTAATGAAAATCGGACGGGGAAAGTAACTTTATTGTCGAGATTGTTAAGAGAATGAGCTCTTATGAGATTACAGTTCAATTACGATGCGTTATAGATTCATTGAAAAATCGGCAATCGATTCTAAATTTTCTAATGACACTGACATTCGTGGAAAAATGTAGGACTCTCGATCTCAATTTATGATGCTGTATAACTATTATTATTACTGTTATTATTGAAAATAATTTCTACTATCCACATCTATCGGTGACATTCGTTAAACTAGTATTTTCCTATCGAATTTCGAATCGTGTCAGCGGCCACGCGCACCCGGTAATATTGTCACCAGGCATATGTATCACATTCTCGCAAGAGCGATTTCTAGATAACGATGGAAACGAGTTGTCACGCGAGAGATTCGTCCGACATTTTTCGTTTTTCACTAGCCGGCCGTTCATTTCCGAAAACCTGATTTCGGATTCCATTTCACGGGCCCGGATCGATTTATTAATCCGTTGAATATATGAACGGACAAAAAGTGCGCGCGCGCGTGTGCGTGCGTGTGCGCGTGCGACGGTATTAAGTCGATATCGAACGGAGGACGGTCGATTCACGAAAATCGGGGAAAAATGGCGCTCGCATGGGAGGACGGGAACTTTTAGCACGAGGGGAATACTAAATGAAATCCGCGCGCGCCGGTTTATTC